GTTGGGTCTCTGTGCCCCCAGGCGTGACGCCCCGGTCGGGCTGGGCCGTTGACCCCTTTGGGTACAGCTCCACCATGCCCTACCTGCTGAAGCGTTCCAACCTGACGGGCATGCTCATCCAGCGTGTGCACTACGCCATCAAGAAACACTTTGCTGCCACCCAGAACCTGGAGTTCATGTGGAGACAGACGTGGGGTGAGGGGCTGCTGGAGAGGTGATTGCAGAGGGGGCCCTGCCGGGGTGGGTGGCAGCAGGGAACAGCTACTGACCACTTTCCTGTGCAGATGGTGAGCTGAGCGCCAGGAGGCCGCGGGTCTGCCCTGCAGCGTTTTTGCCCTGTAGGACAGGCCCAGGCTGACTCCCCGACCACCCCCAGCGCACTGGGGGAGGCTGCTGCGCTCTCTGGGCTCCGAGTGGGTCAGCCTGTGTGCCAGGTCTGCTCTGCCCCAGCAGCTGTCCCTGCACCCACGTGCCCATGGGCCCCCCTGCTCGGGGAACAGCAAAGGACAGCCATTGCTGATGCTCATGATGTCCTTGGTCCCGCAGATCCGGAAGCCAGCACCGACATCTTCTGCCACATGATGCCCTTCTACAGCTACGATGTGCCCCACACCTGTGGGCCAGACCCCAAGATCTGCTGCCAGTTTGACTTCAAGCGCCTGCCGGGTGGCCGGATCAACTGCCCGTGGAAGGTGCCTCCCCGAGCCATCACCGATGCCAACGTGGCAGAGCGGTGAGTGCCACAGGGGCAAGCGGCTCTGAGCCCCATGCCCTGCCTTCGGGAGCCAGGCTCATGCCCTGGCCCTTCCTGGCCCCCCACGGCAGAGCCCAGCTGCTGCTGGACCAGTATCGCAAGAAGTCCAAGCTGTACCGCAGCAAGGTGTTGCTGGTGCCCCTGGGAGACGATTTCCGCTACGACAAGCCGCAGGAGTGGGATGCCCAGTTTCTCAACTACCAGCGCATCTTCGATTTCCTCAACTCCCAACCCAACCTCCATGTCCAGGTACGCGCAGGGAGGTCCGGGGGGAGCAGGGCCCCACACGCAGAGGTTGTGGGGAGGCCACAGGCAGGGGTTGGAGGGGGGGACGGGGGTGGGGGGTGGGGGTCCCCGGGCCTGCGGGAGCCACAGCAGCTCCCCATCATGCTCAGGGCTGTGCGTGCCGTCCCGCAGGCACAGTTTGGGACGCTCTCCGACTACTTTGACGCCCTGTACAAGAAGGTGGGCATTGTGCCGGGGATGAAGCCGCCTGGGTTCCCAGTGCTGAGCGGGGATTTCTTCTCCTATGCGGACCGGGAGGATCACTAC